AAGCTTTTATTCATGTTTTCCCAGAACGTACATTGGAAATCATAGCATTCTCAAGTCTTCTGTGGCTGATGTTGTGTTTTCTAACTCCTTCCTTCCTTTCCTTTTTGTTCATTATTTACTTTTCTTTGTCCTAAACAATATAATTATGTTTACTAGTTTTTTTCTCCACAATAATACTTATTTACTAGAAGAGAACTATTTTTCAGGACTATGTTGTTCTCACATGGCTCAATGGAAGAGCAAAACGTTTCCCCTTACTGTGTAAAAATGGTGCATGTTATTAGCAGCAACACCGTGGATTCGAATCGTCAAGCTGCGTGAGTGCATGGTCACTCCACTAAATGAGCTTCAATGCAACGTTTAGTTTACTATGACATGTATATGAATCACGTGCAATTTGTCCAGGTCATTGGCTAATTGTTCTTATACAAAAGCAGTCACCTAACACCAAACACTTGCCAAATTCGCAGTATTATTTGTTAAAGGTCGGACGGCGACTCAGAAGCAAACGGTAGTTAACGGCTTGTTTGAGGCCTTGGTTCAAGTAACGGGTCTTGCAGTTAATTTGAAAAATCGTATTTTGAAGTTCTATCTTAAAATACAAACTCATGTACGATGTGTTTTTTATTTTTGTTGAACATTATTGTACTATAGATATTGATGAGTGTGCTAATAAGAATGGTAGATGCAGTCATAACTGTAACAATACAGATGGTTCTTATATTTGTACGTGTAATGAAGGTTATTATCTTAATGATAATGGAAGAAATTGTCATGGTATGTACAATATAATATTAATTCAATTATTTATTTATTTATTTATTTATTTATTTATTTATTTATTTATTTATTTATTTATTTATTTATTTATTTATTTATTTATTTATTTATTTATTTATTTACTCACTAACAGCGTGTCACTAAAGTGAAAGGGGAATCACTTAAAATAACTACACTATTAACTATCAACCATAAACTCAGTTAACAGGTAAAGCTAAACGATTCATGAAACCCCGCTTTGTAATTTCCACTCTACTTAAAGTAGCATGGAAGATAACTTCTACTTGCCTTAAGCCTGTTAAATTTTAGGTTTAAAATTACAAACGCACAGTACCCTTAAAAAGAAATGTCAAATAAACTGCCTACGTGAATGCAAGGTATGTAACCCATAGAGTTGCCAGTATAATTACAATCGTACCAAGATCTCCGTTCCTTTTCAAAAAAACATATTTTACATTAACAAATTCTAGAAACCCTATTTGAATTAAATTGAATTAAAGTAAAAGATTTAAAACAAGTACAGACATACTACGGATTAGATAAAAATTGCTCAAACATTTTGGATATTAAAGACAAAGTCGATACTTGTCAATATGTATGCAATGTGTTACTGATACATCATTACGAATTTCATAAACATTACAGCGTTTTTTATCATTGTAAATTTGAAATAAAACCAACATGGTAACTTATCTAGGTATAGTATAACATTCTTAAAGCGTGAGTAAAAGATTTGCCATTACATTTCTGTGAGGTAAAATAAAAAACAAAAAACAAAAAAAGAATTGTTGAGAATCGCAGAATGACATGTTAAGTGTTTCTTTCTTTGGCTTAACATATTCGTCACTCTTGAAATAATAACGTACCGCCGGGAAACTATGTTTTCGACCTTGCTACGGGATTTTTCGTCAAGGGTTTAAGGTAGCAGGATAGTTTTTTTGCATGAAAAAATGAAAAATGTAAACACCTATAATCGGAATAAATTTTACAAGAAACCATACAATCTATATGTTTGGAAAGCTCTTGACTTGTATTTTCCTATTATTAATATTTTGTGAACATTGTGTTTGTTTTAGCGTCACGTGATTCTGAAAATCAGCAGGGGCTGATAATTTAACTAACGTGAATACAATTTTAATTGTCATCTCTACAGTCATTCATGCGATCAAAAACTT